CCCCCCCCCAACAGCCACATTTGGCAGTAGCGAAGAGAAGGACATTGTCCCAATATACCGCAGCTCAAAACGCACACCGCAACCAGGGTCACCACCACAAATACAACCACGCCCCCAAAAAATACTTCTATTGGAAATACGTTCGCTACGACGTTCACTACGACGTCTTCAAGCCTTTCGCTTCCGTTACGTTGTTCGAGCTTCACCCATCACCGCCCGTGATGTAAGGGCAGCTCTAAAAGTACGCAATAGTTACAGGGACGAAGCCAGCAACTAAAGGTCGCAATCACACCACCAACGTGAATGTGCCCTCACTCACAGCGCGCGATATAATTTACTGCTTTCAAGGAAGTAGACAAGTCCAAGACGAAGGACAGTCTACCCCAGGAGATTCAGCTCCCCCCCCTGTCCTCTTGAGAAACACTACACACACATCGGTTCCCAGAAATTCCAACATACTAGACACGTCCGAGGGCAGTTAGCAGCGGGTTCGGGATACTATAGCCTACTGCCCTTCGCCAGGACGGTTATCGCTGATGTTGGCTCCCATTGCAAGCATTGGTAATGTCCCTCGCTGGCGTCATTTAGCCAACTTCTGATGACGGCGATCGTGCGCTCTCCCCATTGACGGACAACCTCACGACCCCAGCACCAACGTTGGCATCACGCGCCACTGCCACAAGGTTTCCTCTCAGCCGGTCCCGAGCCGCCGAGAGACATGATCCCTTCGACATCCGCCCCCTCATCCGTCCGAGATGTCGAGCATTCCGCCGTGCGAAACAGGCACGAGGAAAAGGATCCCACGATCCAAGCTTGACTTCTCTGCATCGAACAACTATATTTCATTCCGTATCCATCCAAAATCAGTTCAGCACGGTAGGATGTCCCAGCAGCGAATCCCATCCCCTAACTATATATGTAGAACCGGCTAGGGCAAAGACGGCCTGGCCGGTGCAACGTTTATGCTAGGGGGATAAATCGTCAGGACCGGCCCTTCGTCCGGCTCGTAGGTGCTCCCTTTCCGGGCAAGGGGCGGTCTGACGCGAGCGCTGTCCCTACCGATGCCGGCACTATTTGACTCTGGCATCGTCGATGATGACGACACGGATGCCCTACTTGGTGCAGGGATCCTTGTTACTGTTGTGGCCTGGGCGTGGGCAGGAAGTTCGTGGAAAGAGCGGGAGCGGGAGACTCGTTTCTAGCGCGTCGGAGACGATTTGGTGGTGTATCGCTGACGTGATTAATATGCGGCGGGATCTAGGAATGAACTTGCTGTTAGTATACCCATGGATGTGTGTTGAAGATGATGTTATCACTTGTATTTAGGACAGCAGACACGAACAGGACGCGGCGGGAGAGAGAGTGCCGCGACACAGCAAGCACTCCCGCAGGTCCGAGCCCCGTGGATCAGCCATGAAACCAACCCAGGGGACTATCAATTCCAATCTGAGTAGCCACTTCCTACAGTCCCGTTCGAATATTCTCATTCGCTCATGCACACACGAACACCCTCCCTGGTTCTCTACGCTAGTAACTAACCACTAGTGGGCATGCACACGCCGGATGTGACCAAAAAAACCAAACGGACGAAAACCAACGCGAGAAAAACAACAGGGGGAAACCCGGCCTCCGGGTCAAAACCCCCACCAATATTCACCGTTCCAATCAGACGCCCCATTCCAACTTTTTGCGAGCAATGATAGTGTAAAGCTATCCTGAGAGGTTGGTTCAAAAAACTACCATGNTGCCCTCCCGCGCCTCTCCCGTCGCAGCTGCGAGCACACGGCCCTCCCGCCGTGTTATTTAGTTGTTCCCCTCCCGCGCCCCTCCCGTCGCGGCTGTGGGCACACGGCCATATCGCCGTGTTCTGTGATCATTGCCCCCCCACGCCCCTTCCGTCGCGGCNATCAGACGCCCCATTCCAACTTTTTGCGAGCAATGATAGTGTAAAGCTATCCTGAGAGGTTGGTTCAAAAAACTACCATGCGGCTGCACTACTGGCTGTTCTTCAAACAAACATCAGACAAACATCGAAATCACCCCCCCTCGCTGACGTAACACAGCGAGCCGGGGAATAAGGCAATCATCCAACTTTTTCTGAGNCCCTTGCTGCGCGGCACGGGGCTGTTTTGCTTGTTGCCCTCCCGCGCCGCTTCCGTCGCGGCTATGGGCACATGGCCTTGCGGCCGGCTTTCTGTGTCTTGANGCAATGGTGCCCCAATGCTTTCTCATGCGTTCCTTCAGCGGTTCCAACAGTATCCCATCTTGCTGCACATTTCACAACCTATAGAACGGCACCACGTAGCCGCAATCAATGAGTGTCTCAACCGAATGACTACCAGGAAGTACTGAACATGTGGACGCGAAAGCCTACGAGAAACACGGAACACCCTCTCTGGCTCTTCAACCAACGTGCAGTCATGATAACTAACGAGGATTTTCCAACTTCGCTACGAATACCANCAACTTTTTCTGAGCGACACATAACCGGCATGCATTTTTCGACAATTCTCTGTGCTCGTGGACGTTCAACAATGNCGCTGGTTGTTTTGATGGCACATCGACGGCGTCGCGGGGATGCATGATGCCCCAGCTCTCTAGACGCAAGCACTTTCCCGCGGTCAACAGGCACACTTGGTGAGCCGTCTGCGGCACCCCCTCCAGCGCCGCACAGCTCTTCTGATGAGTACGTTGCTCTGACTCTTCGGCCAGTGCCTCGAGCGGTGGCTGCATCTCTACCATCGCTGCCTAGAGGTATTCGGTGTTCTGGAATCTACCAAACCCACCGTTAGCAGGGACCTGAAATGCCCACNTCAAAACGAAGTGCCATTGTTAGCGCTGTGATGCGTGTTGCTCCCCTCCTAGCGCTCGTCCCGGCCTGTAGCCTCGCTAGAAAAGGAGTTCCCGTTTTAGCACCACGATGCAAGTACCCTCCCCCCACGCCCCTTCCGACGTGGCGNTGACTGCTCTTGGGATGATGGCCCCATGACCTCCCCGCTGCCCGGTCCTATTCCCGGGTCCACTCCAGCAGGTATCCTTGGCACTACCAGGCTGGCTCCCGGTCTGGTGCTTCTTCCCTCGTGCTGTGCGGGCGGCATGATTCCGTCGTTGTGCGGCTCCTCTTCCAGCAGACCGCGGGCAGACGTAGTGCCCGTGACGACAGCACCCACCCCAGCGCCGCCGGACTCCCCCTCATTCCCAAACTTTCCGAGGACGGCTCGGAGAGGCCCTGGCAGCTGCTGTACCTCGTCCGTCAGGCCTGAAACTTTGCTCTCCAGGTTGTCAACCCTGCCCTGCGTAGACTACTAGTGGTGACGTCGGCAGCCTCTGCTGCAACATCGGCGCCACTAATCTCCAGCACGGGTTCCCTCGAGGGATACACTCACTCTAGAGTGTTAGTATTCCCATGTGTGTGTGTTGAAGATGATGGTATCACTTGTATTTAGGACAGCGGACACGAACAGGACGCGGCGGGAGAGAGAGAGTGCCGCGACATAGCAAGCACTCCCGCAGGTCCGAGCCCCGTGGATCAACCATGAAACCAACCCAGGGGACTATCAATTCCAATCTGCGTAGCCACTTCCTACAGTACCGTTCGAATATTCTGATCCGCTCATGCACACACGAACACTTGTTCGGTTGAACGACTCATTAACAGCCGGAGCAGATCCTTATCTCAATGGTCGGGACAATGAGGCAACGGTAAAGCTTCGTATCCCGTTCTTGCCACTGTAGGGGGGAAATTTTCTCATTGAAAGTTCTTTGTCCCTGATCTGATAGGAGATAAGCAAAATAAACACAGGAATGCATGTATACCTTGGGGTGGAAACGCTCAACGTGGTTGAGCAGGGCGTTCACGTCCCCAAACACCGCTCCGCACTGGGGACACTGCTCTCTCGTGGCGGGCCCCGCCGCAGGTTTCTCCTCGCCCGCTCCCCATCCACCCAACCCCGACCCACTGCCGTGCCTGCCTTCTCCTCGCGCCGTCACCGACTGGTTGTGAGAAGGTTTTCTTGTCGGGGTGCCGCCGTTAGTGGGCTTCCCACCACTCGTATCTCCAAATCGTAGGGCTGATAGGACGGTATTTCTCGGGGAGAACTTGGGGGATTCCGGTTGACCCTGTAGAAGCGAGAGTTCGGCGCAAAACGTCAAGGCTCACGTCAAAAAGAGGATCGACGAGATAATGACTCTCGATGCAATGACGCGGTCCATCTTTCGCGGTTAATTGAAAAGGGAACGAAACACGGAAAGGATTTTGCATTTCGGGGGTCGTGTCCAGCAAGTTCGACGAGAGGTTGACTTGGAAGGAAACACAGGTGTACAGAAAAGAGCTGAAAAGCCAGAACGATTGGGGGTTACAGGAATCCATCGCGTCAAAAAGGCTGATACGCCGACCGTCTCATCACTTGGATTGGCCACAACAACGCTCATGAGCTCAAGCCAGGACGGGTGAGAGGGAGTGCAAACGAATGGAACGAATTCTTTCTCTGGAGGATTGACCTTCATTCCGCCGCGTGACACGACACAAATAAGACTGATTTGGCCTAGTTGTGCCGGGTCCGAGGGTTCCAACGCCCTCACATCCCGCTCGAGGATCGACCGGTATTGATGCTCACGATTTGCTCAGCCGGTCCAGCCCAAGTGCATACCTTGACGCATCGGAAATCGGAGAGCCGGGATTGCCTCCAACACTCTCAGGGTCAATTTCAAGGAAATGACAATCTCTCACGCTTTATGATCGATTCTTTCGCAAACGACTCATCATCAAAACATATGTTTTTAGCATCCCCCGCCTCGCTCAAGATGCCGAACACCCTTAGTAGGATGCAGCGCACCCTCCATGCGACTTGCCAAATACCTTACAGTGCTTCGTGCTTGGTGATGTGAGAGCCTGGCCCGGTGAGAACCTGGCGTGCTCCGTACCGGCTTTGTAGGGATGCGAGGTCAATGATCTAACGACTACGACATGCACGACTATGAGTACAACCCCCCTTGCCCAATTTCGCTCGCGCAAGCGCCAGAAACACCCCCTCGTGGCCGCAACCCACTATTCATCAACCCCATTTCTTCACCATATATATACCGGTATCGTTCTCCCCGATGACCATTTCGTTCTTCCCCATGATCCCATGTATGACCACCTGCCTTCCTCTCCGGAATCTCCCCCTCACGACGTGTACTCACCCTCGGAGAACCGTAGGGGGAGCCGGTTAGAACCATGAGCATTGCCTGCTTCTCGGGATCCGAGTCCACCCAGCAGCGGCAGGTTATTGTGCTGGCCATGATGACCATTGAAGACGTCGATACGAACACCAGGAACATCATCGACACTGCTCCCACATGGTAGCTTCAGACCGGAATCGCAGCAGTGAGGGTGTGGGCCATGATATGTGTATCGGGGTAGATTGTCAAGATTGAAGAGGTGCTGGAGGGTATTCTAGACCAACTATTGCGTAGCGGCGGAACTCCCACAGAGGTTATCGACACCGTGGAAGCATGTCTCCTGGTTCGCCGATCGGAGCGAGGGTTGTCAGGGTCCATGGGATGGTCAAGTGAAAGGAGTGGCGAAGCTGCAGCGAATGTGGAACCCAAGCGTCTGTGGGCGCCGCGGTCATCAAATCGTTTCAGCATGCGAGATGAGGTGTAGGATGACCCCGGTGCCATGGGCCACGGACAAGACGGGATGCTGTGTTTTGTGACTATGTGGCAACAACAAGAAGACCACGCGGTTGAACCCACAAGAACG